TGGAAAATCACAAAGACTGGGTTCACATTCTGCATGGGTGCCTGTTGGGAGCTGGAGTAGTACCATCTTTCTCCAGCAGAGTCCGCCGTGGATCCTCCTGAGCAGAGCCTCCTGCACAGCTGCTGCTCATTACCATCATCAGAGGATCCACTATATAAGCTGTCTTCAGACCTTGCCTCAATGTCGCAGTGTTGTATTCAGTTGGTTAGCACTTTAGTCAAGATCCTTCTGAGCACTTTGTTGACTTTGAATCCAGATTGGATTCTAACCCTTTTTGTCTCTACTTTCAGGAAACCTGTTTTTCTCTTGTGAAGCTCAGGAAGAGCTTAACCTGCCGAGTCTGCCCTCTGAGCCAAACCTGAAGACTTCTCTCTGAATTTCCATGCAGCTCTGGACCAAGAGCTGGAAACCCAAACCAAGCTCTGCCCTCTCTCTAGATGTAAGACGCTGAAGCAGCAAACGGACTCAGCTGAACAAACATTCCCAGGACCCAACAGTTCTCCTCCCAAGGCGTTAACCAAGAACCCTCAAGGTACTAACCAGAAACCCTCAAAGTCAAGCTCCTCTGATTCTACGCTAACTAAACTGTCTCCCACGAAGACTCCAGTGAACCAGTTTCCCAGGCCTGAACCCGAACCTGTCATAATCTCAGTGCTTGTTGAAATAAACTCAGTTAAACCTTTACTCCTGTTTCCGCCTCAGTGGTGTTCTGCATAATTGGGTCCCCTTTGAGAGCCCATCATGACAGAACACTGCGACCAACAAATATTCCCAGCGGAACCCCTCTGGAGGCTTCTGAAGGATCTACCGACCCAGGTTCAGAGCCTTGATGCCTCCCTCCGTGAGAGCCACAATGAAATGGCTAGGAGATTTGAGAGCGTCATTCGTGATGTTCACGATCGGCTTGTGGACAGATTCATTGGTGAGCTCAACACTCAACTTAATAAGTTTTCGCAGGAGTTTTCCAGACAATCAGCTCCTAGAGCGGAGCCCGTCCAACTTCCGTTTCCGGAACCAGAGCCTGTCACGTCACTTCCGGAATTTCGTCCGTCTCTCCCGGAGAAATTTTCAGGTATCCCTAGCAAATGTAAGGGATTTTTGTTTCAATTACGACTTATTTTCCAGAACTCTCCAGGCAGCTTTTCCACAGATTACAAAAAGATAACCTTCATCCTTTCTCAGCTAACAGGAAGAGCCTTGGAGTGGGCTCAGGCAAGATTTGCCACCGACGATAGCCTTAATGGCTATTACTCTGACTTCATCTCCGAATTTACTCAAGTTTTCAACCAAGATTCTGACCAAACAATTGACTCTCGTGCTCTGTTGAATCTTAAACAGGGAAATTCCTCTGTAGCGGATTTTTCCATAGACTTCCGGGTTAAAGCTGCAGCCTCAGGCTGGAATGAGTGTGCACTTAAGAGTGCATTTTTCAACGCTTTAAACGAGAACGTAAAAGATAAACTCGCCACACTCGAGACACCGGAGACCCTGGAGGAACTCATCAGGCTGACAATTAGTTTGGATAACCGTCTTCGAACCAGATCTAAGTCAAAGATTAAGAGCCATGTTTTTCCTGTTTCTATTTCTACGGCTAAGAGAAGGGACACCCCTTCCTTTGTTTCTCCCGAAGAGGCATTCAGCACAGAGAGCCGTGCCCAGCCTGAATCTATACCTGTGTCTAAAACTCACTTTGCTCCACCAGCTTGTGAACCTACTGAGGGGGAGCCAATGCAGATAGGTTACACTAGGCTCACACCCGACGAGAGGAAGAGAAGGTTTAAGGAGAAACTTTGCTTTTACTGCGGGATACCAGGGCACTTTGTTTCATCCTGTCCAGCCAAGAATAAGATTTGGAGCTCGTCTGTGATTATGGGGAGTCTGGTGAAGCATCAACTAAATAGAAAATCCTCTCGTCTTCTTTTACCTGCTACCCTGTTCTGTTCTGATCAGACTCACACTCTGTCAGCCTTCATAGACTCTGGTTGTGAGAGAAATCTTATTGACTCTAATCTAGTTCAACAGCTAAATATTGAGACCACCCCTCTTAGGAAGCCACTTAAAGTCTCAGCGATTGATGGAAGGAGTCTACACCAAGTTACCCACGAGACTCAGCCTCTTCAGCTTCAAGTTTCAGGTAGTCACCGAGAGACCTTAACCTTTCTTGTTTTCCCATCAGCCTGTTCTCCCTTGGTTCTGGGATATGAGTGGTTGGAGCGACACAACCCTCATATTAATTGGACTCATAGACACGTTGAATCGTGGTCTCCCTCCTGCCATGCCTCCAGTCAGTCAACCAGTCCCCGCTCCGCCGAACCTTCTGGAGTCCCTCTACGGCCGATCCGAGCATCCAGGGGCCCACAGTGGGCGCCCCAGGACACCTCGGAGGCTGCACCGGAGTCGTCGTGGGCGGCTCTCTCCATGTCGCAGCCTGAGCTGCAGTCGCCGTTCCTCTCTGAATCAGCTCCGGTGCCGCAGTGGGCGGCCCCGCCCTGCACCTATTTCTGAGCTGCTACCGGGTGTCTCCCGGTAAAATATCAGAGACTTTCTTTGTTGACGTCCACCTTTTGTGGATTGTTTTTTTTTTTTTGTTCTGGGACTCAGTTTTGTTTTTTCCTTTTTCTTTTCCCCTCCGTCCACCCTGGGTGGGTTGGTTTTTTGTTATGGACTCTGCGTCTTGCCTACCTAGTATGGTGCCCCCTGCGCCCACCCTTGGTGGGTTGTTTTTTGTTCCTTTGTTTCCCTAGGTCTTGTCTGAAGCGTCTGGAATCCGCCCTTGAGGGGGGGGTACTGTTGGGAGCTGGAGTAGTACCATCTTTCTCCAGCAGAGTCCGCCGTGGATCCTCCTGAGCAGAGCCTCCTGCACAGCTGCTGCTCATTACCATCATCAGAGGATCCACTATATAAGCTGTCTTCAGACCTTGCCTCAATGTCGCAGTGTTGTATTCAGTTGGTTAGCACTTTAGTCAAGATCCTTCTGAGCACTTTGTTGACTTTGAATCCAGATTGGATTCTAACCCTTTTTGTCTCTACTTTCAGGAAACCTGTTTTTCTCTTGTGAAGCTCTGGAAGAGCTTAACCTGCCGAGTCTGCCCTCTGAGCCAAACCTGAAGACTTCTCTCTGAATTTCCATGCAGCTCTGGACCAAGAGCTGGAAACCCAAACCAAGGTCTGCCCTCTCTCTAGATGTAAGACGCTGAAGCAGCAAACGGACTCAGCTGAACAAACATTCCCAGGACCCAACAGTTCTCCTCCCAAGGCGTTAACCAAGAACCCTCAAGGTACTAACCAGAAACCCTCAAAGTCAAGCTCCTCTGATTCTACGCTAACTAAACTGTCTCCCACGCAGACTCCAGTAGGTCTTAAAATGTGCATACCAATCCCTCTGATCACCTGGAATGCACCCCCTTATTGCATCTGCGAAGAAGTTATCATCAATAAAATTCAGCCCCCTTTAATTTGGAATCCATTGTTGGGCCATAAACCATGATATTAATTTTCATGTGTTTATTGTTGAGTAAACACTGCCGCTTGCTTAGTGAGATCCAATGAGTTCTATTTTGTTCTAATCCAACCTAATAATCCTTTTGCAGTATTACAGAAGCTACAGTACATTATATGACCACAAAAAATGGAACAGAAGGCCTGATCGGATTTAAAATGTTCCACGTCTGTGTGCACACCCAATCAGATCTTCAGAGTAAAATAATCTCCTGCGCATGAGTGCAACATCAGCATGTGGTTTTTCTCAGTTCTAGCCTCCATCCTCTGGCTCCTGGTCCTCTGGGGAGCTAGCTTTAAATGTAATGTGTGAAGGAACCTGTCATACTGCCCTCTGTAGCTAAGGAGCATTAGCATACCGTACCACTCAGCCCTAAACCTAAACTAACATGGCCACCAAAAACAAAAGAATGTTGCATCAAAGTTCCATAATGAAAAATAAAAAACTGCATCCACAGACACGACTGAAGAACCAAAGAAAAGGAAAAGTGGGACAGAAACAAGGAGAAGCTAAAGCTGAGGATGAGCCGAAAAGTATGGGTTTGTTCTTCTGCTACTAAAGTGTTTCTGGGAAAACTAGACAGTTCTGCTCATCAAATGATTTAATCTGATTAAAGGCTCGGTGCATGTATTCACATGTCATGATCAGATCGTTTTATTTGGTGTCCATGGAAACAGACCTGAACTTCTGATCAATCAGGATTTCGAGACGTAACTAATGGAACGTAGCTAATGAGCTTAATTAAATGTTGTTTTGTTGTGAACCTGCACAGAGATGATGAAGTATTAGGGTATATTTTGTGAAATATTATTGTTATAAGCAGGCTTGGACTGGTAATCTGTGATAGCGGGCATTTCCCCGGTGGGCCGGTCCTAATTTCAGCGTGCGAGGGCCGGCCCTCCTTAAATCATACCGGCCCCAACACTTCCTCTCCAGCAAAAGCTCCTACCTGTGACAGTAAATAACTCAAGGAGCTAAAGAAGTAAAACATTGTTAACTACCTAAATGATGTATGCAATATATATAGCCCTTCCTTTATGCACATCCTTGTGACGGTTAGCATATGGTGTCATTTTCTATTTCTTCAAACTGTAAAATCTTTGCAACAAACGTGCATTGTTGCCAGGTTATACGATTTGTCTTATAAAAAGAAGGTTATAAGAAACCTTTTCAATAGAATCAACTGGTGCTTAACTCACAGAACCAGACTTTGAAAGCGAGCAGATTTTTGCTATTAGTGGGCGTGTCTTATTGCAGCTTCTTCATTGGCTGAATCATTTCCTCATTTCCTGTCACTTTATTACACCTGATTTGCTGTTTGTTGCCAACATCTTATCTGTCTGATCTGTATATTATTGTAGCAGCCTAATCATATATAAGTTTATAAAAGAAGTGGAGATATGTGTATTTAATAATATAATTTTCTTAACCCTACTGATGTCACCCCAGACCTAAAATTCATGTTATATAAGTGAGACTTTCAGTGATAATGATCACAGACCTTCTCCGTCTCTCTGCAGAGCTTCCACATGGTCTGCAGTAACGTTGGCTTTGACTTTAACTGTGACCAGTTCTGCTGCCTGAGCTGAAATACAAAGAACAGTGTTTGGATGACTGACTCTGAGGTATTGCTTTGGTTTGCCTGTTATTCCACATCTATAATGCATCATCATCATCATCATCACTTTATTAAAGGGCAACATCAAAGTGATGAAAATATTTCAATGTAGGTTTTCTTCACAGACCTTCTCCTTCTCTCTTCAGAGCCTCCACCTGGTTTTCAGTGATGTCCACCTTGGCTTTAACTGTCATCAATTCTTCTGCCTGAGCTGAAACGAAGAGATTAACAGAGATTAAAAAAATAAAAAGGTGTCTATAGAATCAGCTTTAATGGCAGGTCTGTGTGCAGCTAATTGATTCAGTTCTGATCTCTCTCATGGTAAACCAGCTCAGACAACAGACAGAATTAAGGCTCAAATGTGATAAAAAGGAAAAGACAGAATAATAGACTTAATGTGAAGCGCATCTCTTTTTATAGATAAATGAGAATGGGTTTGTAATATTGCAAAATGCTTCAATTATTAATATCTGATTACCTGAATCTAATGTCTTCATTACATTAAGTAATAGTGTTGCTTGAATTAGTTAAAAGGAAAATGTTTTCAAGCTGAAACAGTTTCTGAACAAACTGGAATTTGTTGCCTTTTAATCATGTTTACAGAACATAGATTTTTTTAAACGTTAAAATTTTTTCTATTTTAAACTTTCCACATTTTGAGACATAAAAATTAAAAATATATATTTCTTGAGTATTACAAGGATTTTGTTCAACAGATAAACACAAAGTAATGAGTGATTGTGAAGGGAATGAACTATAAATGACCTATGACCTTTGTAGATTATATTTACTCCTCTCTACAGTGACCGACTTTAACACCAGTACAGCTTGTTATCTTCAAAAGTGAAATAAAAATCGATGATGCCCCCCCACCCCCACCCCGTCAATAAATGCAGTGATTGCCAGTGGTTGCCAGTGGTTGCCAGCCCTGTCCTGCATGTTGCCTCCTTGTTGCATCAACCCAGAGGAGAATGGATGATCACCCGGCTTCTGATTGCAGAGAAGAAGTCCTGACTTGAATCAGGTGTGCTGGAGCAGAGACATATCTAAATCATCTCAGTTACCAGAGATACTTACCTCCTTAACAAGGTGAAAACTCTAACAGCTAAATTGATGTAAAACTAAAGCCACTATAAGCAGGAGAGAGACCTGTCTCCACGCGCACCACCAGCTAATCGATCAGAAGTCGAGTTTGCACAATCACTGCGCAGTCAGATGACAGGTGGTCTCTTTTCTCCCCTCCACGGTATAGGACATATTCTAAACAGCACGCTTGCATTGTGCACATGCGTTACCACGCGGAAATGTGCCTGACTTTGGAAGAAGAGGCCCTACGCCCAGCTCTATGTGTTTAGTTAGAGGCTGCCCTGTAAAGTAGGGTTCTGCTAAGTTTCAGTATAACTGCAGCGGTTCTCTGAAGGCCTCAGAGGTTCATCTAATGATTACAAAATGATCATGTTTCTTTTCTCCTCTAATAAAAAATGTAACTCACTAATATCGTGTTCACTGTTAAGTCGATGTCCTTCATATATATAGAAACCTTATATAGACCTCCATTATGGGTCATAACGTTGGGTCAGTGATTCCAGCTCCTTCGTCTTTGCTGTTTATAATAACAAAAAATGTTATGTGTTTTCCATGTGATAATTTATAGAAGGCAATATTTCTCCTAGTAAACGTACCTTCATTATCTTTCTGCAGATGTCTCACCTCCACCCTTAGTTCAGCCAAGCAGGCGCTCATCTCTCTGAGGACAGCGTTGATGTCCTGGGTGCAGGTCTGCTGGGTCCCAGAGAGATGTTCTGCTTCTCCTACCTGTGCTGCAGGTGAAACGATGTCCTTGTCAGAGACAGTTTGAAGCTGAGCAGGACAGACAGAGCAGACTAAGAGCAGCAAAGGAAAAATCATTCTCGTTTCCATCCTGATTGTTGGTCTCTGCAGGTCGGCTCTACTGTTTAAGACCTAAGTGGCATCAAGCCTTAAATATTAACTTATATTTATTGCTGACTACTGATTAACAGCGTCTATTATCTAAACTATTGAGAAAACAATTGTTACTTCAGGCATGTCCTATAAAAATATGATAAACTTAGTGTTAGGAATGAATGTGTAACTAAACCATAAACCATCCAGGAAGGATTATGCTGCTATGAGACATAGAAACATCGATCAACTTCACCTCAAAGGAATAGTACACCCAAAACATGATTAGCCTTCATTTTCTACTCACCCCCATGCTGAACAACACTCTGGAGTACTTTTTTGATATCTCAAATGCATCTGGAGGTCTGGGAGGCTTCTTACTGTCTGCATTCAAATAATGGAGGTCTATGGTGCCCGAGGCAGAAAGGTCCATAAAAGTTCACAAAAAACGTGTCAGAATTTACTCGAAACGAAGTCATTTAGAATGTTTTTAGAGCAGGGGTGCTCAATACGTCGATCGCGATCTACCAGTCGATCGCCAAGGTACTATTGGTAGATCGCATGACAAGGTGAGGCGAGATTGTCATGAACTGACGCTATGCAAATAAAGTTGAATTGTTTTGAATAAAAAGTAGACGTCAGCCTATCAGCCAAACCGACACTTGATTGATACACAGGACAACCAATCAGATGACAACCAATCAGATGACAACCAATCAGATGACAACCAATCAGATGACAACCAATCAGATGACAACCAATCAGATGACAAGCTTGTTAACTTTGCTAATTTTTGCATCCTAATATTTCGCTCGGTTATGAAAATGAGTGGGGAAGCTGGACCAAGTAAGAAGAAAAAACGTATCACTTTCATACAGAATGGGAGGAGGACTTTTTTTTCACAATGACATTTTCAAAGTGCGTTTGTCTCATCTGCCAAACTACCCTCGCAATACCAAAGAAGGGAAATGTGGAGCGACATTTTCGGACTCTTCATGGAAAATACGACACTGAATTCCCACCGAAAAGCGAGCTGAGAAAGACAAAGGTGAAGGAGCTAAAATCCCAGTTGTTGGGACAGCAGTCATTTTTCACACAAGTTACTTCTAAAGCTAAAGCTGCTACCGAAGCATCGTTCCGAGTAAGTCACATCATCGTTAAAAACAAGAAGTCATTCCGAGATGGAGAGATGGTAAAAGAGGCATTCGTTGAAGCAGCGGACTCATTGTTCCGGGACTTTAAAAATAAAGCAGAAATCTTGTCTTCGATCAAAGCTCTCCAGCTGTCAAGGAGTACAGTTACATGGTGCTGTGAAGCCATGGCTGAGGACTAAACGCAGCAAATATGGAAGGACATCGGAGATTGCGAGTGTTTCTCACTGCAGTTGGATGAATCTACGGATGTAAGTGACACAGCACAGATGTGCGTTTTTATTCGTATGGTGTTTAGTGATATGACTGCAAAGGAGGAACTGTTAACATTACTGCCCATGAAAGAAAAGACGCGAGGAGAGGACATATTTCTGTCGTTTAAAAACTTTATTGAGAAAACCCAGCTGCCGGTGTATAAATTGGTGTCTATCACCACAGATGGCGCACCTGCAATGATTGGTCACTTGAATGGATTTATTGCCAAGTGTAGGCAGGACGATGCTTTCCCAGATTTTCTGAATTACCATTGCATAATCCACCAACAAGCATTATGCGCTAAAATGCTCAACATGAAAGAAATCATGGATGTCGCAACGAAAATTGCCTGTGCTATTCGAGCCCGGTCTCTTCAAAGACGGTTGTTCCGTGCACATCTGGAGCAGGCTGACTGCGACCGCTCTGACTTGTTGCTACACACTGATGTGAGGTGGCTTAGCCGAGGGAAATTCCTGCAAAGATTTCGAGAGCTCTGCCCAGAGATTAAGGAGTTTCTCCGTGAAACTGGGCATGCAGAATACAAACAACTAAGTGACGGTGAATGGCTGTTAGACTTGGCATTTTTAACTGATCTGACAAACATGTTGAACGACCTCAATCTAGAGCTGCAAGGAAAAGACAAAACAGTGATCAATATGATCAGCTCAGTTAATGCTTTCAAACGCAAACTGCAACATCTGTCCTCAAAGCTGCAGCGTCATGATTTGGCAAACTTCCAGAACCTGGCGTCAGAGCTGGAGATGCAGGGGAAGGCCTGTGTGCAACTTGACAGTGAACGCTACACAGAACAGATTGACAGCTGTATGTCAGAGTTTGAAAAACGCTTTCAAGACTTTTCTTTGCTGGAGCCAGTTGCAACATTCATGTGTTTTCCTTTTCGGGAAGATGTGGAGATTGATTCCCTCTCATCAAAAATTGCAACACTATTTCACCTGAACTCTTCTGGAGTGGAAGATGAGATATTCACACTACAAGCTGACATTGAGCTGAAGTCCAGAGCTCATGGACAATTCTGGAACTTACTAGCAGAGGGAAAGTATCCCAACATGAGGAAATGTGCTATTTCCTTGACTGCATTTTTCGGCTCCACTTATTTATGTGAGTCAGCCTTTTCCTACATGAAGATAATTAAGTCCAAGTACCGCTCCACTATGACTGATGAGCATTTGAAAATGTGCTTGAGGCTGGCTGTCAGCAGCTACTGTCCTGACTATATATCCTTGGCTGATTCAATTCAGTGCAAGTCATCAGAGTGAACTCAGAAAATGGCAAAGAATGTACATAGTTATGTTGTGTTGTTCAACATATGTGGTTATACATTAAAATAAGTTGTAAGAATCCTCAATATATTTTTCTCAATAAATATAATGGGTAGATCATTTTGACTTGGTCATTTCAAAAGTAGCTCCCATGCTGAAAAAGTGTGAGCACCCCTGTTTTAGAGCATAAACAGTAGTGTGTAGGATTTCCTGAAAGCGCGTTCACAACGCTACGGAAGCCGGCAGACCAAACCAGATGAAAGTGCGCATGAAAGTGTTCATGTGTGATGTGATGTGTTCACACGTCTATGTAAAGCTGGGTATACACTGTACGCTATTTTCAATCGTTGTACTCAGGTACAGTTCAAAGTATAAGATGAAATTGCAGAGTTTTAAAGTTCACAGCTCAGAATGAATGTTCTTCCACTACAGAGCCCAACACTCACACTGTACATCTAAAAACCACACATCAGTCTAAGCACCGAGAGATGGCGCTGGTCAGACTCATCATTCTTAAAGAATAGAAAGAAGAAGGAATACCTTGTTTGCACATGGGCAGTGTGTGGGGTTCTGGTAAATCAGTTAATAGCTCTGCTTCAACAGCAGCATTTGCTCACTAACACCTCATGAGGGTCGACTGAATTTCAAAGACGGTTGATTTTCTCCTGACCTTATGATTCCTGATCAAGAGGAAGCCCTGAGGGGCTAATCACCCCTCGTTACCCCCTGTATACCACATGACGCAGGATGCACCATGAAACTGAAACTCCAACCGATCCAAAACATTCTTTTACGGCTGGAAAAGCGCTCTGAAAAGGGCAAAAACCCGTACAGTGTATGCCCAGCCTAAGGTTGCTTACGTGATAGAAGCTGTATCTTTAGTAGGTTTATGTGCATCTGTCAGATTTGTGTCCATCTGCTGAATTCATATGTCTATATGAAATATTATGTGACTATGATGAGTTCCTTACTTGGTCCTTCAGTTATGTTTTTCAACCCTGAAATGGAAACCTGTCATTGCTTCCTATCATGTGATGTCATTCTCCCCTGTTGTAGCTTGATGTTGCCTGCCCTGTCACCCAAACTTGTCGTAACAACCTGTCAAGTTAATTTCTGCAATATAAGCCTGCGTCGTTGTTGGGTTTAAATCCAGAGAAATGTGAGTTTAAAAGTTTAAGAGGACGAAATGATCAAACACAGACAGGGATTTTGAAACGTCAACCTCTGCACAGGGGAGAAAGACTGCTGGCTCACAACCAGCACCTTTTCTCCCAGATCCCTTCACAGCAAAGCCTTATATTAACAGTTTACAACATAACAGGGTGGGTCTTAAACAGAAAACCCAGTAATGATTATCTGGCAGGATGCAGGTCATAAGTGTGAAATGACCATCTGGCTGGATGGAAGTCACACAACCGTGTGACTCTGCCTCATGACCTACTGCATGCAGGTCATAAAAGTTTATGACTCTCCGGATTGAATCACAGGACAGAAATGTAGCATAATTCTATAATTATAAATCTAACATTTCTCCCCCTGATATACATAAAAAACATCAGCATATAGCACTTCTAAAATGATTTTCACTACATACATCATGAATGCATGGCAGATAGGGAATTCAGTAATCAAAGTTTGATATGCAAAACACAACAATATTAAAAGGAAAATTCAAGCAAAAAGGTAAAGTTTATTAAGAATGTAAAAAATTTAAATAATCTGTCCCTTGAGTAGGCAAAAACTCTCCAATAGAGAAAAAATTCCTACTCAACCCCTCCCTAGGAGGCAATCATTATCCCTGTAAAAGATTACACAGCTTCATCATCATCATTATCTTCATCAGCATCTCGGCGGAGTTGAGCATAAGTGATTGCTGAATATTGGATTAGAGTGGATCCTATCATTTTCTGAATCATTGATTGCAGGCATGGTATTAAGCAACAAATAAAAAGGAAAAATATGATTAACAATCCTACAAATGGTAAAGCTATCTTCATCAGTACCTGCCACCATGATCCCATGGTGAACCAAACTGTCCATGGTGCTGGAACTGCACCGGAAGTGTGACGGTTAACATACCTCTTTAGATCTTTCAACTCATATTGTATTCATAGAAGTAGGAATATGAGTACAAACATAACAGTCTGTTTTGTTCAAATCTTCAGCAACGCGCTTGGAATGCTGCCACCACATTTTGGAACTGTAGGATGACTTGCTGTGGATCCATCTAAGACCATTCTGTTCCTCCTTTGTTTCAGAAAGTCAGTTTGAGTCCCTAGTAACACCAGTCCAACGGTCATCACCAGGCAACAAAACCACTTTGGTTTTTCCTGTCTTTG